GCTATACCCTTAAATAGGGCACTATTTGAGGGGACAGACATTTTTAGTGGTGTCCGAAACCATAGTGGATGTTACTGAGTGCACTCATTCAATCCCACAATGCACCGCAATAAAGAGTGTACAACCGATGAATTGTTCGAGATGCATCAGCGCTGCGCAGACTGATGAGCGTATGACATCAAAGTACCGCGAGAGCGATTCAAAGGCATATGCTCTCCAGTCGCTCTTGCGGTACTTTGATGTCATACGCTCATCAGTCTGCGCAGCGCCTATGCATCTCGAACGAGCCTTATACCCATACCATATTCACTATTCTCTACATTAGTCCACTTGAAGGAGTTAATAAGTGAATTAGGACACTGAGTGCGCCGGAAGGGATGCCGTTTTTTTCTTTGTGCTGCCGTGCACCGCAAGGGCCCCGTTAAATAGCCTGCACTGGGGCCCGTCATTACCAAGTTACGCCACTGGCTATACCCTTAAATAGGGCACTATTTGAGGGGACAGACATTTTTAGTGGTGTCCGAAACCATAGTGGGCCAGTAAAGTGTAATGTCAGATTCATAATTCAAGCAACGAATAAGCATTTAATGAAAAAAATAAAGATGTAATAGTTTTGTTTAAAAATATTAAATAATTTTACATGCATAAACTGTAAGGTGACCTCCATAATTTTGAATCAGTTTGAGTTACATACATTTAAAAATAAAAAGTCTTCTATGTTTTGGGGTCAAAATGATGAAGCATATGTGACATATTATTGATATCTTTTAACAATTTCTTAGGTTGAACCACCACTCATGCAGTATTGCCGCATCAACTATCAAATCCCAGTTCTCTCCGTATTTTATGATGGAGTTAGTGATCTAAGGCCAGACTACAGACTTACAAGGCAGACACTGACAAAGCTGTTCTCATTCCTGCGTGACCATTATGATCATGGCTGGGGACTTGAGCTGGAAGTGCTTGTTTTTGTGTTCTGGTTGGCCAGCGCAACTTCCTATCGGGTCGTATCCAGAGCCTTTGACATTACCCGCTCTACTGTACATGACATTGTTCACCATGTGGCAAATACGATTGTGAGCAAAAGAGCCCAAGTGATTCATTTCCCAGATGCTGAAGAATTGCAAGAGGTTGGAGATGGGTTTGCTCACCTCGCCGGATCTGCAGCTTTTAAAAATGCTGTAGGAAGCATTGATGGGTGCCAAGTGAGAATCAAGCCACCTAGTACAGATGCTCAGTGCTACCTCAACCGTAAACTGTTTTACTCAATTCAGCTCCAAGCAGTTTGTGACCACAGAGGCAAGTTTTTAGACATCTTCGTAGGATACCCAGGCTCAGTTCATGATTCCAGAGTTCTGAAAAACAGTCCACTATTTTGCCAGCAGCTTTACCCACCTGAGAATTTCTGGATCCTCGGGGATGGCAGGTATCCCTGTATATCTCAGCCATTCGCCCTAATAACTCCATACAGGGAGCCTGTCACAAGTCCAACACAAGCTCGATTCAGCAAGCACCATTCAAAGGCACGAAGCATCACTGAGAGGTCCTTCGGGATAATGAAATCAAGGTGGCGGAGCATCTTTTTTAAAGCTTTGGAGGTGAAGCCCAATTTTGCCCCTGCTGTGATTGCTTGCTGTGCCATTCTTCATAACATTTGTCTCACCAATGGTGACATTTTGGAGCCAGTTGAGGCAGCACTTGTGCCAGATGACAACAATGATGCACTGCCACACAACCAAGACCCTCAGGGTGGAGAACAAATAAGACAGCACCTTGCTGCAGCAGTCTCTGCACCTGGCAGAGATGACATTATCAATGTGACAGCTCTCAGGGATCATGACTACATTCAGCTATAGTGAGAATCCTCTGCTGAACAGATTTCTGCAATCTGGAAAAAACTAAATATTAATATTTGTTACCTGATAAACCAGTCCCCTGTAACATCTTATTCAAGAAACTCAGTTTTCACATTGAAAGAATAAGCATACAATAACTTTACTTGTCAGAAGAGGTTCCTTAATGTAAATATATAAGTATATTTCACATTTGAATTATAGAATTACTGATGTATATAGTATTATCAAACAAATAAAAACCAATGAACTGATCCCCTGTAACCAATAATTTAAAAAACTGTATTGCTTGCAATAGTAAAAATGAGAAAACAACAAGTTCAATAACCGTTTTTATTATTATTATTATTATTTTGTTTTACAAATTCACATCCTATTTATCAATTCTCTCCAGTAGGTTCATCAATTTTTCCTCTCTTTCCTCTGATATTCTTTGCCTGGCCTCAGACCTCTCTGCCTCTTTTTCCAGGAACTCCAAAACTGGATCCCTACGCTGTCTTTTTGCTGGCAAGGGGGTAGCCTCACTGTCACCTCTTTCAAGCAGGTCTGTGGAGCTGGATGGTGGTGTGGTGGAAGTGGATGCTGAAGCTATCAGAAGAGGAGGCTGAATTGATGGCCTCCCCCCCAATAGCTTCATGCATCAGATCAAACCACTTCCAGCTTCCTGCAGTTGTCTCCCCGACTCTGTACCCACACCTGATGGTGGCTGCTTCAGTTCCTGCAAATATTTTGGGAAAGAGCTCACCCTCATGTCGTTCCAAACCCGTAAGACCTTCGTTCATCTTCGGAACACAAATTAAGATATTTTTGATGAAATCCGAGGGCATCTGATCCATACATAGGCAGCAACGACATTGTTTGAACCACTGTATTTTAATCGATGTCTTTAGTATCTTTCTGTACCTCAAAAGGTGCAATGTCGTTGCTGCCTATGGGTGGATCAAATACCCTCGGATTTCATCCAAAATATCTTAATTTTTAAATTTGGAGCTTGACCCTGGAAGTAGTAAAAATTACTACAATAACATGCATTACTTTTTATTTTTGTGACTAATTGAAAAGACAAACCTTGTATGTTTTTTTCAGGTTTTCCCACTTTTTTGCAGCCCTTGCTGGGCTGACTTTGTCATTGAGACCCATTTCTTTAAGGACAGCTCTGAAACGCAAACAGTTCACAAATTCAGCCCTCAAAGAATGATGAATGTTCATTTAACATGCACTCATTTCAAGACGTAATAAATATGCAAATAATAAAATTTAATTTGATATAAATGTTTGTGAAGCTGTGTCGTTCCTGCCTATGGGTGGATCAAATACCCTCGGATTTCATCCAAAATATCTTAATTTTTAAATTTGGAGCTTGACCCTGGAAGTAGTAAAAATTACTACAATAACATGCATTACTTTTTATTTTTGTGACTAATTGAAAAGACAAACCTTGTATGTTTTTTTCAGGTTTTCCCACTTTTTTGCAGCCCTTGCTGGGCTGACTTTGTCATTGAGACCCATTTCTTTAAGGACAGCTCTGAAACGCAAACAGTTCACAAATTCAGCCCTCAAAGAATGATGAAGGTTAATTTAACATGCACTCATTTCAAGACGTAATAAATATGCAAATAATAAAATTTAATTTGATATAAATGTTTGTGAAGCTGTCCTACAGACAATTGTAAGTGTTATGTAGTATATGATAAGCAAAACCACTCAAATAAAATAATTTCTATTACAAGTGCTGTAAGCATAGTAAAAAAAAAAAAGTTTCAGTTTCTCATGAAGGCAACATTTGATAGCAGCAACTATCCTGAAATTAGCATTTGACTAAACTGTATAATTCAATAAAAAGATAAAAAATTTTACTTGTGTGCTGACAAATGGAAATTTGGCAATTGAAGCTGCCGCTAGATGGCAATGGTGGATATCATTCTAAGTAAGTATACGGAAAATATATCGCACCATAACATGAATAAAATATTTGACTACATGTCATTGTTGTTATAAACTTATTGCAAATATTTTAGGCAATAAAATCAGAGACAATAGACTTACTCCCATCCACGTTGAGCTGCGTGTCGTTTGCCAGAGAACAAGTGATTCTTCTCCGCCCTTAGACGGATTCAATTTTCCACTTCTTGGTCGGACCCTGTGATAATTATTTCAGACTTAGCAACTTGTGTACTAGTAACGAAACGATCTATTTGGATTTCTATCATGTATACAAACCTTAATTTAACAATTAAACAAACTTACACCTATAGGATTCCATCTTGTGGTCAGATGCGGGAGTTCTTTCGGCGCGCGCATTGTGGGTATTCTCCAGCCCTTGAGCGTGCACCGGTTGTACACTCGTTACTGCGGTGCATTGTAGGATTTAATGAGTGCACTCGAGAACGTCCACTATGGTTTCGGACACCACTACAAATGGCTGTCCCCTCAAATAGTGCCCTATTTAAGGGTATAGGGGGCGATGATCATGGCGCACGCAGTTCATCCACCCACTTCCCAATGTGGCTACAGTGTAATATCATATACAGATATAAATTCGTTTTAACTTTATTATTAAATTGTTTAATTAAGGTGTTTATACATGCTAGTTTTCATGACAGAGCTCAAGATATTTTTTTTTCCATTACCAGTAACGTTACTGGAGCTGCTTTGCTAAGTTTCAAATGATTAAACGGCAAGCTTTTCCGGCGCACGAGTGTCCGAAATCACTCACTCGTTTTAATTCACTCCTTCAAGTGGATTATATTAGTGGACTAATGTAGGGAATAGTGAATGAGGGTATAGGGGGCGATTTCGGACACAGC